CAACCTTCCAAACCCCGATCACCTTCCCCAGTTACCAACCTTCCAACCCCGATCACCTTCACCAGTTTCCAACCTTCCAACCCCGATCACCTTCACCAGTTACCAACCTTCCAACCCCGATCACCTTCACCAGTTACCAACCTTCAAAACCCCGATCACCTTCACCAGTTACCAACCTTCCAACCACGATCCCCTTTCTTGAACTCTATAAACGTTGTGGTCTTCTTCTCCGATTTCTTCAGTTGAAAGGTCGGGCCTTTGGGAAGGTCAAGGTCTCTGTCTGAACTGAAAGGATCTTTGGCCACGGTGATTTTTCTGGAGTTTTTCTGGACCGTGAAGAACTTGGGGGCTGGGAGTGAGATAGAAGTGTGTGAGTTTGTGTGTGTGTGTGTTGGTGTGTGTGTGTTTTTTATGTGTGTGTGCGTGCGTTATTGTGTGAAACATGTTAGCGATCTAATACAAAGTTATAACAGCAACGCATGTTTAATACGAGGAGGACGTCAAGTTAAGGCTCTGTAGGCGCTTCACGTGTGAAGACTTGTACACTAAATATTGAAAGCTGGATAATACAATTATATAAAACTGAAATATACACGCAGTACAGTGAAAGGGTCTGGTCCACTAAAAGTCTAACAAGTTTAACATGTGTTAACAAGTTTAACATGTGTAGGAGTTCTTTTCTAAATAGGGATGATTTGCGCACGTTAAGATGAATTGACTTTACACATAAACGCAAATTGTAATGGTATTGCTACAGCTTCTTCACATGATTGCTGACTATTGCCACTTCCCCTTTACCACACTCCCACAAAGCACACCCACACACACATGGACACGGATGTGGTTAAACGGACAGTTTCATTCACACACTCATCCACAAACACACACACAATCCTGTGAAACAACTCCATAATGCATATATTATTTTTTAAAAAATCCATTTTTGCTACCGCTAGTTCACGATAGAGATAAACCGTACAGACAGTGGTGTAGCACGTGTTAGTGCTGTCCGGGGTGGGCTAAGAATTTAACCTCCACTTCCAAAAAAAAAAAAAAAAAACATCTTTTTTTTACCAAAAAA